TGCCCACCCTGCTTGGGATTCTCTCTCCCCCTCCCCTGCTTCTGCCCTCTCTCAAAATAAACAAATAAGCATTAAAAAACACAAACAAACAGGTGCAGCACAGGGATGTTTTTAGGACAATGAAACCATTCTGTATGATACAGTACTGGTGAGCCTGAAACAGGAAAGCAGTTGTCAAAACCTGGCAAGACTTAAAGCCCGAGTAAATCTTAATGTATATAAAAATTTAAAAACTCACTTAGGAGACTGGGGGATCCCAGGGTTAGAATGTGACAGATAAGTCTAAACGTATCACAAACATAAAAACGACTGTTACTGAAGGTTAGGGTGGGGGATAAAGGGTTGACTAACGTAATTGGAAACCAGTGAAGCCTTTACGACTGAAATCAAGGGCGCCTGGGTGGCTCAGTCAGTTGAGCATCCAACTTCAGCTCAGGTCATGATCTCGTGGTTTGTGAGTTTGAGCCCCACGTCGGGCTCTGTGCTGACAGCTCAGAGCCTGGAGCCTATTTCAGATTCTGTGTCTCATTCTCTCTCTGTCTCTCCCCCACTGTGCTCTGTCTCTGTCTTTCAAAAATAAATAAATGTAAAAAAAAAAGAATGAAATCATGATATATTGCACAAAAGCACCATAACTCTAGTTGATAAAGTCATTTCCCACAAGGCTCTGGATTACAAATTCTGGAAATTCTATGTATACTGGAATTGAAACAAGTAACTGGATGGCAGAAGGTAGGAGTCATGCTTCTCACTTTTGGGAGGAAGAGGTTACACGTAAGCAAGGGGAGGAGGCTAGAATGATCCGTGAGGCCAGGGATCAGAGCTGGGAGACACCAGTATGAATTCACGTTTACCTTCCCAAACTTCCGGATGGCTACATACACACGGGTTACTCCTCGCACGTAGGTTCCCTCGCTCTGTGAGCTGAGGGGGCCTAGAAGCAGCATCCGAACGCCATGAGTACGCCTATGCCCAGACCTCGGTTCCTAATACCTCTCTCCAGGAAAGGGAACCTTAGCTCCTTGGAGATGCTGGCACATGCGGTGTCTGCTGGCCAACCTCTCTGGCTCCCCCCAAAACATCCACTGTTCTTCCCCTATATTCACCCTTGACCTAGAGATGACTCCAAGTCTCTTCCAGTTATTGATTCCAGCCCAGAATCTTGGGGGTGAAAGGCACCCCTACACATCTACAGCTGAAAGGCCGGGTCCCCTGCCCTGAACACAGGGCGGGGCGAACAAAGGCAGGACAGGACCAGGGCAGCTGCGTGTTCCAAATCCGAGTGAACAGGACGGCCTCACCCAGAGGGACTCAGCTGAGCACGGTCTGTGGCAGCTGGTCTCCGGGGTCCCGGCCAGTCCCCTCCCCTGTACTGAGGAAGTAAGGCTGTGATCTTGGGCAGGTCAAACCCATCCTTTCCAGTGGGAAAGCTGCACCTTCAACTCCATCTGTGCAGCACTACAGTCTCCAACCAGAACTGCTGAGGCTGTGGGGTCCTCACCTGAGCTTCAGCGATGGTGGGTCCCCCACGCCAGCGGGTTCTCAGACTCCCCACCAGCCAAGATGCAGGCCCGGGTCCCCCAGGCCAGCGGGCTGATTCAGAACCGAGATGCAGGCCCGGGTCCCCCAGGCCAGCGGGCTGGCTCAGAACCGAGATGCAGGCCCAGGTCCCCAGGCCAGCGGGCTGACTCGGAACCGAGATGCAGGCCCGGGTCCCCAGGCCAGCGGGCTGGCTCGGAACCGAGATGCAGGCCCGGGTCCCCAGGCCAGCGGGCTGGCTCGGNAGATGCAGGCCCGGGTCCCCAGGCCAGCGGGCTGGCTCGGAACCGAGATGCAGGCCCGGGTCCCCAGGCCAGCGGGCTGGCTCGGAACCGAGATGCGGGCCCCGGTCCCCAGGCCAGCGGGCTGGCTCGGAACCGAGATGCGGGCCCGGGTCCCCAGGCCAGCAGGCTGACTCGGAACCGAGATGCAGGCTGTGGCACAGGCAGCTCTCCTAGCAAGGCCAGGTTTCCTCCTGCACTCGCTTTTCAAACCAGAGCCCCTCAGTCAGGCTTTTGGTCTTTCTCGTTCTTCTGTAGGACTTCGCAGCCTGCATGTACTCAATGCTCCCGGGATCTGCCTTCCAGATATGATTTACTTCATCTTCCTGACAACCCAGAGTAGGTACGATGATCACTTCCATCTTTAGCCAAGGCACTTGGTCACACAGTAGTAAGTAGAACCAGGGTCTGAAGCCACACAGTCTGGCACCAAAGCCACAGCTGCCTAAGAAGTGACCAACACGTGGGAACACTCTGCAGTTTCCCTCTTCCTTCCCTTAAGACCAGTCCGGTCTCCAGGCCAAAGCATAGTAACAGTTTGGCAAAATGTTTTGCCACCAAATAACTAGGTTCACCAATTTTTCACCAACTAACCAAGCCTAGTGGGCCCTCCTTAGTCCTGTCCCATCTTGTGCAACTTTTAAGATTAAGATCTGCATTTGCAATTCTAGATATCAACTGTTTATCAGCTGTTCTTAGTTGTGAAAGGAGAACACATTCTGGCCTAAGAAAAGGAACACACACACACCCCCACACCTAGGCGGCAAACAAGAAATCTCCAGACTGGCCGCAGTCACACTTGGGAGGTTCGAACAGAGCAAGAGTGCAGCCAGACCACACCTCGGAACCGCTCCGAAGCCTGCCAGCCACACACGCGGCCCACCACACACACCACTACAACATGACAGGTCTCTGTCCCCACTGACCACAGGCTGGCCAAGGCCACGCCTGCCCTCGCCGGTGTGAGAATGGCCTCCGAGTTGTCACGGGTCATGGGAAGACTGGGACAGGCTGGGAAAGCAAGTTTCCACCTCAGGGAGACAGGTGGATGTAGGCAACTGCCCACACAGCGGGGCCTGCACACCCGAGTGACAAGTGTCTGTTAGACTGAACCTTCCTAGTTATACTGTAGCTTCACTGATTTAATTTATGCTGGAATTTCTATATTGAAGTTAATATTGGAAATTAAATTTCTCAAGCCCTATTTTGCAGAATTAGAAACATAAGGTCAGAAATTCCTTTCCAGTAACAGACTAAATGAGTAATGCATTCGTGGATAACTTAACAAGTAATAACCGGAGAGGTTGGGGAGAGAAGTACTTACTAAGATGTGCCCGTGCTAACAAAAACCCAAGTAGTGTAAGGCACCTGCATTTCTCGCATCGTTGATCATGAGAACATTGGAAAAAGCCACCTTGATGCAAATAAACCACGTCTGTTATAAAGCAGAACAACAGTGCAGCTGTTAGAGACATTCTGGAACTTCTACTTTGAGAACATTAGAGATTACACAAATTAAGCAGTCATAATAAACACCGATAGTCTGGATTTAAAATTTTTTGACTTTACGATGATGCAAAAGCGATACACATTCAGCTGAAATTGTACTTGGAAGTTTGAATATGAACATGCTTCTTGTCCTGGGCTAGCGGCTAGCGACGCGTGGTCCGATGCCCTCTGGGGTGCTGGGTGGGGAGCCGTAGCTCCCAGGCCGCCGGCGATCACGAGGGCAGACAGACCCACCGACAAGTCCTGCCAGTCCTCAGTACATGACACGAGACAGTCAATACCAGGCTATCGGACAGGCTTTGTGCGGAGGATTTTGCCCACCTGGAGGCTGACGGGAGTGCCGTGGGCGCGTTTGCAGGCCTGGCCAGGCTGTGTAAAGTAGGTGTATTCAATGGATCTTCAGCCTATGGTGGGTCCACTGGCACGTAACCCATTACAAGCACGTTTAGGTACTTGTCAGCCCAAGGCCAGTGTTCAGTCCGGCTGCTGCTGACTTTTATTCCTGTAAAATGTCCAGTTACGTAAATTCCTTTACCTTATACGCTCTGACCCCAACTTGCTTTCCAGAACATGCGTGCTTTTATCACAGAAACTGAGTCTCAATTCAGTTTTATGCAGTAAAGTAATACCTACCACCAAAGAGAATGTTTTTTCCATTTGTTAAATAAAAACAGGAGAAAATTCTTTTCTGAAAAGGGTTAGAATATTCCTTATGTGTCCAAACCAGGGATGCAAAGAATCCCTGGGGTTGAGTGTTTCCTTCCCCCGAAGGGTCACAACACACCTCCGAGCGGCGACCCCCTGGGGTCAGCACGGGTGCACGCCCGCCAGCTGTCGCCTCAGAAAGGCCACCTGCAGTATTCGAGCAAGCAAGGAACACAACACGGGCACAGTATATTCTGGAAGCGCTTCCCGCTCTGGCAATGAACCTCAGTACCAAGCACTAGTATCTGTTTTTGTGGTCCTGCTGCACCTTTAAGCCACATACACGACCACACTCCAATAGTGCCGTTTTTCACAATCTAGAATTCTGTCAACAGTCAGAACAGTTGAAGCGGCCTATGCGGCTGAATTTTATAAATTTAAAAATTACATGAGAACTAATACTGTTGTGAACTTTGCCGGTAGAAACGTGGCCCCTAAGGAGCCACGCATTTACAATGCACCTGTGAATTCTGGAACCCGCATGTCGATTCTGACCAGGCAGGAGTCTCTGAAGACCCCCGCTAGACCCATGGTTTCTGACCCGCCTACCCCGCACGTGCCACAGACCCCACAGTCTAACTTGGCCGCAGGTGGTTTATCCGAACGGTCATCACGGCAGCTTGGCAGGGCCTCAGCCGAGGCTCCTGTCACAGGGCTAACTGGGGTCAGCGAGAACTACTCTGTTAGAGAAAGCAAACGTTTTCACCTTTGGCAGATTGCCAAGATGACACTTTATTACAGAATTTATGAAGCTACAGTTTAGTAACTTGCAGGTTTTATTTAAATGAGTCAAAAAAGAAAGAAAAAGATAACAAAGCAACCCCATATCCCAAAATGTTCTAGATATCTTTAGTGCAAGAAACGGTGTCTCACGGAAGCACTTGAGAATCACCATGAAATCCTAGCAAACATGGGATCCCCTTCGAAGTGGTAATAAAAAGAGAAACAACCAGAGAGGCACACAGATTGGTTTTTTTAAAGGATTTTTATACTATATTTAAAAAACCACAAAATAAAAAAGGGATCAGTCAACGTGTATCTCAGAAGTCCCTCCAAGTGTGTCTATGCCGAAGGCCGACTGCTGCCTGTTTCCTCTCCGTTCGGTCGGCAGCTCCTTTCAGGATCACCGGAGAGGACTCGTGCTCTAGTTCTTAAAGTCAAACTTGTTCCGCCAAATCCAAGACCCTGAACTTATCCAAATTGTAGAAACATGCTTTTACCACCCGTCCACCAAAATACCTCCCATTCAGATCAACCACAGCTGCAAGACAAACAGAAAGACAGTCCGTTAACGCAATATCCTGAGACACGTCACAAGAACATGTTTTCACTGTAAGGATTAAGATCACAAGCTTGTTTTTGTTCTTTACATTGGGTTGTACAACTGACCTTTAATTGCTGATTCAACCCTCTCAAATTCTAAAAATATTCGTACTGCTTCGTCATCAGGGGCACCAGGAATCTGGAAAAGAAATGAAAGTGTAAGTGAAGTTACCAAGAGGTACGGCTGTATGTAAGTTTGCTTCCTTAAGTGATCTCTGTCAGAGTAAGTGCCGCGATCACCATCTCTCTTATATGGAGAAGTCAAATACCAAGGAAGGAAGTACGATCTGTTCATCACCAAAATCCGTTCAGTGTCTCATTAAGAGCAGCACCGTGGCAGGTGCGGAAACACACAGCTAACTGAGCCGGCAGTCGTGGGCCCTGAAGAGGCCCCGTGCTGGCCGACGCCTGCGCAAGCATCAAGCAGTCAGCAAGCAGGAGACACAAAAGAGGAGCGGCAGTGAGAGCAGAGACAGAGGAGCAGGCCCCTCGCATTGCTGACATCCCTCTGCCGGACCCTCTGCGCCCTGCACAGCACGGCCCGCTCCACCCGGGCCCCCCGTGACTTGCCAGCACACCCACCCAGTCCATTCTGGAGCCCTCCTCAGTCTCCCAGCAGCTGTGACCCTCATCTGGATACCTCCCCCTCTGATCCAAATCCTACCCATTCACTGCCCTCATCTAATAACATTCACAAAGCTTGCTCAATTTTTGTGACCGAATCCCTTTCTCAACTTCTGTATGTATAGTGACTACTTCAGAGTCTAGCAACTCAACATTCTCTATTTTTACAGGGCTTGTTTTCTTGTTTCTTCAACTGAACATATCACTGGGTGCAGAATATGTTTCCTGTCCCCCAAATGTTTGTGGGAGGCACTAAATACACACTTGCCAAATGAATGAAACCAAAGGCATGTCCAACTAACTGAACTATTGAGCACGCAACAATCTATAATTGCCAAACTAAACCTCAAGCATACAGTGAAACATTTTATTTCTTCCCCAAATAAAATTCGAAGGCTTTCTTATCTTTATGGTTAAAATGGTTATAACCAAGTAAAAGAAGTATAACTAACCAACGTCGGTCCCCTTCAGGAGTAACAACACATGATGTTTCTCACCACACATCAGGTCTCTATTCAGGTGCAGAAAATGTTGGGTAATCTATCAGTTGTAACTTGGGTTACAAACATCAAAAAAACCCTCTTACTTCAAATATCACACATTTTCCAACTTTGCCATATTTTTCACACTCCTCCTTGGTTTCAGCTTCCAAGTCTTCATCTACTTCTCCTGCACCAACCATGTTCTATAAACAAAAACCAACACATTCAAGCAGTAAGGATAATTTACAAGTATATGAGATGAATAAGGAACTTTCTCTCATGATGGCAAATGTTCTCAATCCCAAATGACACAATGAAAATTTTTACCCTTGTAGTACCCAAATGTTGGTATTTCTTAAAATAAAAATACATATTTATGGTTTTTAACACATTGAATTAAACCAAATTACAAGCTCACGGCACAGAGTACAGATGTACATTCTTCCTCCATTTACTCATTTAACTGAAAACGTGAGCTTATGTTCTACTTCGTTAAGTTGAAAAAGAGTGTCCTACTTGGACAGATGCCCAAGCTAAACATGGCTTAGCCAGCACTTGAGGCAAAAAAAAGCTTTTCAGGTGTGAATAATGAGCATGAGTACATGAATGCATTTGTGTTGTAAAAATAACAGAAGAAATACCAAACGTAAACACATACGCTATGCTTCAGTCACAAGAGCACCTTACAAGCAGAATACATAAACTAAGCTGATCTTCTAACAATTTCATGTTTTAAAGCAATTGCTCACTGCAGTATTAAACACTGTGTTTAGCAATAAAACTCAGTGCCAAGGAGATTAAACATCAGCCTTAGACGACTCTATCCAGAAGGATCATTTGCAAAACAAGTATTTTCAGTTTGCTTTAACTGTGACCCTATCAGTAGGCTGAAAGAGTGTGAAGCCAGTTCAGGGAGGATGTGGCGCACAAATCAAGGTAGGAAACAGGCTTCTTTGATGCCACTTCTTACCCGCAGAAGGACCACTTTGGTAGGACACTTCAGTATCTCAGTTAACGGATTGGAATCCGACTTCTTGGATGCGTCTGTAGCAAAGCATTTAAGATGTAGGCATGTTAGTGCACGGAGTCTGAGTTACCATGACTAATTTCAAGAGTGCTTCCCACTATTTATGTCCTCGGAGTCATCTAGAAGGATTTATGCCATCAGTGTCTGAGCAAAAATGTAGCCTTATCTGTGATGACAATCTCTGCTTCGCTTTGGTCTAGGTTTTTACTGTCATTTCTACAAGTTTTCAGCTTTCTTAATTACCTGCAATTTTTGCTTAGTTCAGGCAGCTGGACAGAGCACACAGACCGCACCCTCACAGGTGAGAGGACGGGCAAATGCAATGAGGCCAAAGGTTACCGGCCCGATGGAACAAGCAGTTGCGCAGCCTGCGGCTGACGAATTCCACACACCCCACAGATCAGGGCGCCGGTGCGGTTTGGTCCGGGCCTGTCAGGCTGACTAGCTGCTCCCTAAGGCTGTGCTGACAGGCCTGCCAGAAGAGTCGTCTTCTCTCTTAGGAAAGGGAGCTGGACTGAGACACTCAAAATAAACTCCATCCTGCTTAAAACGTGAGGATGTTTGGCTCCTTCCAATATGCCCTCAGCACAGAACAGATCATAATAATCAAATGAAACTAAGACACCGAGTACACATCATCCACCAGTAGGCGGCGAAATGACATTCATCTCACAGAGCAATCAATCAGTACTAACATTAGAAATCGCACTGACAATGAAAGAGCAGAAAAAAGAAAAAGCTAGGGAATTCTTCCAGGATGGAAATATACCGATGTCATCACCGACATACTGTATGTATGTGGCTCTGTCTTTCATGCTCTAAAAAACGTAACTGTGATTTTACCAATTTAACAAGGTCTTCGCCTGATAGAAATAGGCATGAAACCATTTCTCTGAGTGCAGTTTATTTTCTGCCAGAATCAGTCTCATTTTTCTCGCAAGGACCTTCCTATCCTAGTTTTGTTCTCAACAAATAAAGACGAGCCCCAGGGTCTCCATTTACACAGCACACAACTTGGATGCATCACAATCAAAAAGTGTCCTTTCCGGCAGGGCCCGTCCCCCACCCGACCACATGCCGCCCGGAGGCCCTGCAGAGGACACCCACCTTTCTCTGTGGCGTCGCCCACGATGATCTTGCCTCCTCGCTTGCTCGTCTTCTCCACCGACAGTGCTGTGCTCAGCCCTTGCTCGTGCTTGCCAAGACCCTGGCCTTCCCGGAAGCCGTACTTCTGCATGATTTTATGGGCCACTGTGCCGCTGCGAGGAAGGAAAAGAGAAGGACCTTGGATGCAGGGTCACCGGCTGTAGCACAAACCGATTTTATATCATAGCCGTCGCCTGCTTAACAGAGAGTGTACATCCCGCACGGCTTCGACGTGGCCACCCACCCGGAACTACCGGAGGGCCATTCAGTGGAAGCCAGGAGACGGTCAGCCTGGCAGAAATGGAAAAGCTAACGCTGAAATCCTGGACATCCGGAGACGATCTCTGAGGTAAGGGAAACGAAATTCTCCCAGCATCCCTGTTAGAAAGCACGAGAAATCTCGTGTGCCCCACACTCCGCACTGCTGTACAGTGTATGGCCATGGCTTAGTTAGAAGTGTGCCTGTCAAAACACAAGGATAAAGTTCACATCGTGAAGATGACCACATTTTTCTAAACAGTACAAGGGAGTTTCCAATGATAGTACACGAACCAAAGACCTCTTAGAGATTGTCCACTCAGCAGACGGGAAGACAAAAACTCTGAGGCGCAGATTCGCGGACCGGCTTAAGGCTGATGAGAAGCAAAGCAAGACACCGAGTACAGAAATTCTTCTGTCGGTGCTAATGGTGAAGCCAAACGGAGCCCGGAACTTGCTCGCTCTGGGACTCAGCTGTCACACTGCACTTGGAGGTGCCTCGGGGGTCTCAAGGAGGTTCCCACCCATGACCACTGCTATCGGGGGCTGCATCACAACACCCCGTGTCAAGTAGGGGCGCACCTACAGCACCCCACACAAGGGCTCCCCACAAATCCCCTCGGAGCGAGCTGCTCCTGGGTCAAAGGGCAGAAGGCCACTGAGCCACACCACACGCTGCCTTCCCCGGGCATGTGGCCATCACCTCCTCCTCGCTCAAGAGGGAATTGAGAAAGAAGTCCACTTCTGTCACTAGCAGAAGACCCAGCTTCACGCATGTCCCCCACTCCAGCACACGCCCCGGGGCAGCCTGACAGAGCCTCCCGCACGAGTGGAGGCGTGCAGCGTCCACACTGCCCTGGGTGCTCCCTGAGCCCCCAAGAGGAGACCCCCGTGACCCAAGAGCTGCACTGTGAACTGTGTTCATCTCCAACTAATTTCACAGCCATCGAATAGACCACAGGAAACAGCACCGGTCGAGGGGATGGATCCCATGGTCAGAAACTGAAAGCCCTCGTGTGGGGCGTGACCGCAGCACCGGCACCACCGGACGGTCACCCCTCCACGGGCTCTCAGAACCAAAGCGCGTGCGCACAGGGGAGGGCACACGGGTGCGACGATCACCGTCACCGCTGCCGTCCCGCGGGCTGCATCCTTACTAAGGACATGGCAAGGCCTTAGTGCTGAGCTGCCTCATGTGACCGCTCCTCACGGCGGGGGACACAGGGCGAACAGCATGCGGCCAAGTCCAGTGGGGGCTAGAAAATCAAACCCATAAGCCCTTCTGAAGTCAACCTTAAAACTGAATTTTATATGCCAGCAAACACATTCTTAATTATAGTTAGAATGATGAAGTGTTTTAAATCAAAAGTATAGAACCACGACCTTCCAGCAAATGGCTCTTTTTATCAAGAAAACCGGTCACTCGCCCTGTGGACGCAGCGGAAGTCCACACTAACTCACGGGAGCTACTGTGTTCACGTGTGCTCTGCACATCGATGCAAACAACTCTCCGAAAGCATCCCCACCTACGGACTAGGACATTCAGCATGGAAACCACTCAAAACCCACACAGGAAGGACACGTGTGCGGTACGAAACCCAGCAGTGTCGTGCTGGGTCGCCCTCCACGGGACTCAGCATGCACTCTGAAGGATGCTGTGTGACGGCACCAGGCGTCTCCCCAAACACCGAAGAGAGCCGTCACCTTCCTCCAAGAGTTGCACCTACTGACAGTGCTGATGCACTTCACCCTGGGGTCTGTCCTGCCCACACGTGCGGGGACGAGAGCACTTGGAACCATTACCCCATGTTGGCGAGGAAGGAGTTGCCAGGTCCGGTCGGAGATCTGGGCCGGTCCTGCTCCTCGTACACCGGGGGAGGGATAGCAGCTTTGGAAGCCTGGGAGCGAGGCCGTGAGTCCTCTTCGTAAGGGAAATCCCGGGGTACTGTTGGATAAAAATACAACAGGTTTACCAAAATAATACCAAAAACTTCTCAGCTATACTAATATTGACCAGTTACTTACAAGGAGAAGAAAAGCCAAATCAATCTTATAGCCACTACATGACTCTCTTCAAAATCAGAGGCAGAACACTATTTTCCTGATTCCAGCTTTGCTCCTCTTGTTTTTACCTCAATGTCTTTTTTACATCCTGCTGAAATGTTCTTCAGCCTTTAACGTGCTCTTAAATGACAATCTGTGTCTGACGCTTTCAGATTTTCCTTATGTTTCAGGTGGACCCAAGTGAACTTGCTTTTAATCCCCATAGCATTCTGTGTGCCTCTCTTAACACTACACTTCCTACCTCATCAACCCAGCAAAAATAAATGTTTATATCGGACCAGTGACTCTTCAATCCCAGCTACACAGGGGAACCAACAAGGAAGCTTTGAAAAGATTTAGATGCTTGGGCCCCACTCCCGGAGACTGGTTTCAATTAGGGCTGATGATCTGTCAGGCATTTTCACATAAAAGATGTTCAACAATATTTTCTGAATTCTCTTCTTTAATAAGATAACACAGACAGTGTATTAAAAAGCACTAGGATGACTGTATTTTCTTGGGAGGGTTTAGGTCCGGTCCCACCCAGCAGGCAGGGGGGATGATGTCCATGATCTAGATGCCACATCGAAGTCCAATTCCAGCCCTAATATTCTAGAATAGAGCCCCGGGAGAAGACACAGGGAGTGGGCATGTTTTGGCAATCTAAGTAAACATGCACAACATGTATAAGGAAACAGAAAGTAATCACAGGCAAATCTAACCAAGGAAGGCACTGCCACCTTGTGGAAGGTCACAAATTTACCGGCCTCTAATCCACAGAATATGAAAACTGTACACTGAGCTACATGTGTTTTAACCTAACCCCAAACTATGAAACGTGAAGAGAAAACAAAACAAATTACTTAGAAGAAGAGCAAAGCCCCTCGCTGCACAGAACGCACACCTGGGCCCGGCATGAGAGCCCGAGGCAGGAGCAGAAGGGCGGGCTCCCAGAGGAGCCAGGGGACAGGCTTTCGGGCCACCTCCCCTGACACCCCGAACGCCCGGCCAATTCAGCTAAGACTTCCCCTGACCAGGCCCGAGATCAGGGTCGCAATAAGAGAGGGCAGGAAACAGATACGTACACTCTTTGTCCTTCTCTACAAGAGAAGTGGGAGGTGCAATGGCCGCTCCGCCCATACCTGCAAGACACGAACCCACTGGTTAAAGAGGGGAGCACGCAGACGCCTGGCCCTCGACACGCCACGCGCTGTCCTGGGCTCCTTCTACAGGGGAGGGAAGAAGGAAATCTAGGATCAAAAAATGTCGAAAACGGGCAAAACCGAGGCAGGCAAAATTATCATTTTCACAGCAGGCATTGGAGAACCCTCCTTAAAATGCAGTTCATAAATGAATTTTACGGTGAAGGAACACAGCCCAGAGAGCCAGCAGTTACTTACAACCAGACACATAGCTCTACTGAGAGTGTGTGGGCACGAGGCTCTTCCATACAGGTTGCGTCATTTAGGTTCAACCAACGGCTGAAGGAGGAATCACTGCTTGCACTTGGGAGACGAGAAAAGGATCAGAGGAGTTCATGGGCGGAGACTGAACACCCAGCGCCCCACGGCGCCGACGCTCCCCCACAGTGTGGCCCCGTGCCCTCCAGGGTGCCAGACCACTGTGGGCGCTTGGCGATTTCGCTCCTGTGTCCCAGACAGCGATGGACACGACGAACCAAAAACAGACTCTGTCTGCTCTCCAGCAACCAGGCGGAGCACACGAATGGAAGACACAAGGGATGTTTCATTCGACACAGGCCCCTCATACGTGTATTACAATTTAATTACCAATGATGTGATCAAAACAATAAAACACGAATTAAAAACGGAGTTACAAACAAGCTGCACCAGCATGTAATGTTTCACAAAAGAAATTCCTCTACAGCGAGTGTACATGTGTCGTGATGAAAATGTCTGGGCTCCACAAAATACTCCTGGAGAAACGTGAACCTGAATAAAACTTTGTCCGTTTCTTCTGAAGTAGCCATTATCTTTTCTTTTTTAATCTTGTCACCAAGACCTAAGTGATTATTGAGTGATTCTGAAAAAAATCAGCTCTGAGTTCAGTATAAAACACGCAGGGTGATTACTAGAAATCTGTTACTAATCCGGTTAAAATATGACCGTCAATCTGTTACAGCAGAATGAAGAATGGGTATGACGCCATCATTTTCCTAACACTAGACTGTATAGCACTTGTTAATGTTCAAAAAATAACGTCCTTAATAGAGAAGCACAGCTCCTTGTCCAAAGGGCAGCCAACGTGTAAGCTGGAAAGAGGAGGCCAATAAATATTGAACCTGTACACTGATTCTAAACAAGTTAATGAAAACCGAACATTTGCTAATGAGTCAGGTCATAGATAGGGAATGTTTAACACAACGCCTGACACACAGGCCACACGCAACGTTAGCGCCACCCCCACCAGAAGAACAGTGTTTTTACGCTGCGGGGCACTGGACACGCGACATCTCTGTGTTCGGCGCACAGCACAAGGACTCGGCACCCATGCGCACTGTGAAGGGACCGGCACAGCGTGACACCCATCATAGTTACACGCTTCTCCCTGCAATGAGCACTTTTAAGATCTACTCTCTCAGCAATCTTACGATATGCAATACAACTTTATTAACTGCAGCAACATGGCACATGATATCCCCAGGACTTCCTATGTTCTACCTGGAAGACCGTCCCTTTTGACCCTTTCATCCATTATGCAACCCCTCATCCCCCCCGCAACCACCACTCTGCTCTCTGTGAACCTGGATTTTCGTTGTTGTCTAATAAGCATCCTATAAATACATTTAATTCATATCTGCACTGAAAGATTAAAATCTAAATTAACTTGCTCTTTTCCAACTCAATTAGCGATTTAAAGTTTGAATTAAGCCCTACAGCAGCCTTGGCTGTACACTGGGGAAGACCAGGCTTGCCCCACTGCTGGTCATAAACCTGAGTTCATGCAAGGAGAAATACACTGCAGCTCTGTGATAACACGGTTCTCAGGTTTCAAGTGAAAGAGGACCGTGTTATAAGGGAGGTTTCGGGCAGATGAAGATTGTGGATAAGGGGAACGGTGGGCCCGTGTTATATGAAGGACCTATTCCCTCTGTGCCTCAGGTTCCTCACCTTTGAAAGGGGGATAATTGAGCTGTGTGATGTAAAGTAGATAACCTACAAAAGTGCTTATGGGAGTACCTGGTGTCAGGCAGACAAGCAGAAGACTTAAATTTCTCACTTAAAATTAAATAAATAAATCTTAACTCGTCAACCAAACCAAGAAAATGCCTGCACTCACAATGTGATGAAATGCCCCCTTCTTTCAAGAATAAACATGAACCATCGAGTGACCGCTCAGAACGCAGCGGTAACACCAGTACAATCCTGCCTGTGAACCTGAGAGACGGAAGGGGCCTCCCGACGTCCCTGGTTCGAATCCACGTCTCCCTGCTCTCCATACAACACCGAAAGAAACCAATGTCCAGGGAAGCTAAGGAATTTCCTCAAATTCATGCCTGTTGGTGGCGAGTGTTCTGGAAATGAGTGCCTGGACTCCATCTGGTGCTCCGCAGAGGCGCTGCAGGTAAAGACACTGCGCATGGACTGCAGGCGCCCCAAGTACCCCCTCCACAAGCGTGGGAGAGCGACCGAGAGGCTCAGGGGAGGACGTGTGTGAAAACAGGACGAAGGTCAAACTGTGATGCACACACGGATGGCCAGGATCCCAGAGAGAAGACTGCCCAAATCATGTCACTTAAATTATCAAACCGCATATGAAAAGCAAACAGAAGAATTTCACCACGTTTGAAACACAACATTTATGTTTCATGACTTACTTCTTTTCCTCCTCTCTCGCTCATAATCTTCATCTTCGTCAGAATCTGGATCTGGTCGCCTTGAAAACCCACTAGCTTCGTGTCTGTCCTTACGCCTCCTGTGACAACAAAGGGACCAGAGGTTCACCACAGATAAACCAATTTATTTCTTAGTTCTTAAAAATATACTTAGTTCTTGTGAGAGAGAGCACGTGCGTGCACGCGTGCACGAGCGGGGTTGGGGCAGGAAGAGAGGGAGAGAATCCCAAGCGGACTCCACGATGTCAGTGCAAAGCCCAACGCAGAGCTCGATCTCACAAACTGGGAGATCAGGACCTGAGCTGAAATCACGAAAGGCTGAGCCACCCAGGTGCACCCAGATAAACCAATTTAGAGATATGAACCCAAGGATGTCGCCCTGACTTGCTCTTGTCTAGAAAATATTAAAATCCTCTCTTTCCCACTGACCTATTAATTTGGGGGGTAGGGAACACATGTACAAATGACTGCTTGAGGACTAAAGTAGCAAAAGTAAGTGCAGTAAGAAAACTCAAAAGATAAACTGAACAGATTTAACAGGCACATGAATACAATAAGAAGGAGGAGGTTTCTTTGATATTTACCTCTTTCAATTTTAAAGCATTATCAACATAGGTAATACTTGAAGAAATTTTGATTCTCTAGAACATACTTTCACTTCATGAAATGATTCAATAAATAATGAGAACAATTAGAATTTTATATATACCCATTGATAATTAACATTCAATACTTTAAAACAAGAAATACAAGGGGGCGCCTGGGTGGCTCAGTCAGTGAAGCGTCCGACTTCAGCTCAGGTCATGATCTCACGGTTTGTGAGTTCAAGCCTCACGTCAGGCTCTGTGCTGACAGCTCAGAGCTTGGAACCTGTTTCAGATTCTGTGTCTCCCTCTCTCTCTGCCCCTCCCCTGCTTGCACTGTCTCTCTTTCTCAAATATAAATAAACCTTTAAAAAAACAACAAAAGAAATACAAATAAATCCTTTCTATCCATACCTTTAAAAAATATAAATAAAAGATGCATTTTCAAAATTCCATCTGGCTCAAAATTAGTTCAAGAACATTTTAAGTATTTTATTTTTTAAAGTAAGCTCTACTGCCCACCGTGGGGCTTGAAGTCATGACCCCAAGATCAAGAGTCCACAAAATCTACTTACCAAGCTCAGTCACGTGCCCCAAACATTTCAAGTATTTTAAATAGTTAAGATTCTAGTACACTCATAGCATAGGAGAAAAAAATCTATTATTCAACATCAGGCTTTTAAGTTACTTTTCTAACAACTCACACAAAATGTAGACTTCAGGTTGTCTGCACCCAGACATGAATTGTCCCTAGTGTCTGCCGCCATGCTGGAACCTAACTACAGACACGCCTCGGAGCCAGTGCAGGTCTGGCTCCAGACCATTGCCATGAAGCGCATATCGCAACAAAGGGAATCAAATGGCATTTCTGGTCTCCCAGGGAATAGAAAGGTTACGTTCATACTACACCGTGGCTGTTAAGCGTGCAACAGTTTTATGCCTAAAAAAACCAAGGTACATATCTTAAAAATACTTTATTGCTAAAAAATGCTAACCATCCTCAAAGCTTTCAGCGAGTCATAAGCACTGATCACAGATGTAATAATGAGAAAGTCTGCAATCCTGGGAGAAGACCCGAGAGCAGATGCTGTGAGAAAAATGGTGCTGACAGACTTGCTCGACACAGAGCTGCCACAAAAACCTCTAATCTGTAAAAAAAAAAAAAAAAAACACTGCATCTGCCGAGGTCTGCCCGTACAAATTCTTGAAAACAAATGAATTCCTTTCGAGGATTGTTCAGAACAACCACAAAAACTAGCAGTAAGGTTCATTCATTAATATCCCAATAAATATTTGAAATGTAAAATACCCTTGAATCCAAACAAAACCTTACTTTTCTCTCTCTTCTATTTCTTTTTGTCTTTCCAGCTCCCGCTGTCTCTGCCGTTCCTCTCTTTGGCGCTTTACTACTTTCTCGTAGTCATTAGGAAACATAGGGTCATATTCATCAGCTAAAGGAATCAAAACTTCTCCTGCAGAAAATCCACTGGGAACGGGATCCTGAGGAAGGTAAAAATGTCAAACTAAGTGTCATCCTATTTTTTAGAATCTCACACACAGAATGAAGGTCAAAGACTATGAGCATCAGAAGGGCTCTGCAGACCCCCCTCCGCCGCGTCGGTGTGGGAGACGAGGACACAGGTGCCTCAGGAGCGTGGGGAGACAGCGCCCCACAGGCCCCGCTCTGTTGCGGCAGGAGAGAGTCTCACCTCTGACTTTACTATCAATTCCACAAAAGACCTAAGACCTTTTCCTGGAATCCTAAACAAGCTGCCGCCGCCTACAATTTCAAGCACTAGATCTATTTAGAATACTGTTCTACAATGTCTCTATGAAAACTTACAGAATAAACAATCCGTGGGTAACAATCATTCATGTGGTCATTTAACGAACTAACTTTACACTCGGTACCATGGAAACACGACACGCGAAGACCTCACAAGAAAGGCGGAAAGCATCTCTGGACCCCACACCCCTTTCCAGGCGGGCTGCACTTCAGGCACCGGGTCTCGCACGGGTGGACAGAACCCGCATCACATCGTTAGTTCTCTCAAGGCCCACTAAGATCAGGGTCAGGGAGCAACGCTTCGCACTTCTCTCCTGTGCCTTTCCCAACGGGGGCTGCTCTTTGAGGGGAAGAGGCGGCCTGAAGGAGATCAGAGAAGCGAAGGCAGCAGGGCACAGCTGAGCGAAGACACGGGGGAGCACCGCGCCGTGCCGTCCGTGGTCGTGGCAGAACTCTTCCCTAGGACCTGTGATGATCAGGGACCCCGAGCGAGCCCAGGGATCTGGGGCCGCTCTGTCCCCCTTCCGTAAGGGCACCGCGCCCCTAGCGAAGGCAGGACACTCTGTGGAGCGTATTCTGTATCTGAACACAAGGCTGATGGGACACAGAGCGTCCGTTCAGCATCAACGGATCTCAATCCGACAACTCCTGTAGGCACCATCCGGGCCGGTGCTCTGCGTCGTAAAGCAAACATTTTAGTGCTTCCTCATAACGAAGAATCAGGAAACATTATGACCCAGTGGATATAAGAAATCAGAAAAACAGGTATAATCAGCTCCCAGGCCTGATCACTGGAAAGTTTACACAAATCTACTGAAGGCAAGGTTCACGAAGGGGAGTCCTACTTGTATTCATATAAAACACAAAGGCACATGCCTAAGACGTCCTCTCAGTTCTGAGATGGGGGAGCAACCAACCAGCAGCCAGTGGATTTACAGAACACTATTACCACGGTTTCAGACAGAACAGACTGTCAATAACAAGGTTAATTCTCTGTCATTTCAAAATCTGAGAGCAAGTACCTGTTCCTGTATGCACCCAGCTAAGCTGAACAATGAGACATCATTCTCTAAATACACTTAGAATAAAGCAGTCTGTTCAATTTAAAAAAATTAAGATGTTAATACCTCAATGCTGGGGAGGGCAGGAAAAACTAAAACACTCATATTGTAGGTGATGTTGAAGACTCAACACGCAGTAACAGAAGATAATGAATGCGTTTTTTATTAGATGCAGTGAGGAAATATTAGGTGGATAATCTGTGAGCAAAAAATGTTGAATGACTAAGTCTCCAGAAACACCTCCATGGGGGGATACTTACCTCCTTGACAGACTATCAACAGGCAGGACCAACATCAGGAAATCTCAGAACAAAAGCAAATTAGAGGAGATTCCAACTCAGAAGAGTTCTGACTGAAACTAAAAAAGAGCAGGGCGTGTGGCTGCCATGGTGTCTCAGCATGACAGCGTGGGTTCTAACAGGCGTGGGGGTGGAGGTGGGCAGGGCACCTTGCTAAGAAATAGCAATAATAGCACATCTGTTTATTAACTGGTCATTTTTCATCAAGCAATTTGTGTGCATGGTGCTGTTTAAACTACTGCAGTCATACTGCATCCTTGACTACCATCCATAGAAGGATACATGTTACTTAAAGAGTAGTTGTAATTTCTTTTTCGGTTTATTTATTTATTTTGAGAAACAGAGAGAGAGAAAGAGCAAGTGAGCAAATGGGAGGAGCAGAAAGAGACGGAGACAGAGTCCGGAGCAGGCTCCACGCTTCCAATGGAGCTGGACATGGAGCTTCCAATGGAGCTCAATCCCGTGACCATGAGATCACGACCTGAGCTGAAATCAAGAGTCGGACACTCAACCGAATGAGCCACCCCGGCGCCCCAAGAGTGGGTGTAATTTTAACTATAGTTTACACTGAATTTATTTACCCCTCATTTTGAATACTTTGAACTCTGACTCTGAATTACCCTTTTTCACATCTTCCTCATCCTCACTAACCCATATTATAGAAGTGACCGTGTATGTTTGTAAGATTATGTAACCTCACTGGGGTAATAAAAGTTAGGGTGGTAGAATTTAACTCTTTTCTCTATTTTAATCCACAGTGAAACAATAAACACTAACATTCCTTGTAACAGCAGAAGTTAGAAAAACGGACGCTTCCAGCATTCGGTAAGCTAAACAAGCCACAGGACACCATCAGAGGAAACACAGTGAAGCCACTGAAATGGATCGTGCGGTCCTACACTTTCTAACACAGATGGACAGTCACAATATATAACATGAGAAAAGCAAGTCAGGAGGCAGAGAATGGAAAGATATTCCAAAATATAAAGTTTTTAACTTCTGGAGGCTAGGACTGAAGTCACTTGGCTTTTTTCCTGTGCAGCTCCAGCTTCTGATTCTTCTGTAATGCACTGTATTTCCGATCATGCTAAAACAGTTCAGTTGAAAAGGACTCTGGCGAGCCTGCAAGGACCCACCGGAGGAGCCGCAGCTCTGAGGACAAGGGCAGGCGGCAGGGGACCAGGGGGCTGGGAGCGGCTCACCTTCAGGCCGGCCGCCACGTGCGGGGGGGTGTCCACAATCTGCCGGTCGTCCGAAGAGCCACCTCGCTTTAGGTCGATTACCGGGGCGAGGACGGTACTCTGTTTTGTTCTCTGGCTCTAAAATCATCGAAAAACAAAAGAAGTGCACTGAAGCTTCAAATTAAACTTCATACTATTTATAACAAAGCCTCTCAGTCTCTGGAACACACCTTTCAGATACGAGAACAACAACCTCAAAATAACAGCCTTTTAATTCAGTTATGATTATTACCATAAACTTTCTGTAGTCTGTTGTTTAGCAACACAAATTCCCTCTATTTTATAAAAGGTTTACAGTAAACTTGGTCTCTTTTCTAAATCTTCACGTGAAATAATCTATGAAAAAAGCTCTACCCCGATTTCCCCCCTGAGCACAGGAGGGCACACATAACAGCACATCACACTCTAGCTGGCGTGACTCTCACAAGGAAAAGGTACGTTCTCACAGCCTGAGCAAAAGGGACTTGTGGCTTAGGGGTTTTCCCTCCCAGTAGAATCTAAAATCCTACCTCTTTTAACATAAACCCACAGAAAAACAATTTTAAAGGAGGACAAAACTCACTTGTGTGCCATCCACCATCACTAAGTTACCATAACCCTGTCATTTGTGCTGAACCTTCTGGAAGGAAGCTGGAGCCCCATGACACTTCCCCTTACTCTCCTCAAATCATGGACATTCTCTCACATGATAAGCACAGTACTATCACCATACCTAAAAATCAATAATCCCCCCTACTATCTCCTATCCAATTCAATTCAGATTTTCCAAGGTGTCCCCTAAAATGACTTTAAAATAGCTGATTTTAGGGGCACCTGGGTGGCTTAGTCAATTGAGCATCCACCTCTTTTTTTAAATGTTTGTTTCTGAGAGAGAGAGCGGGAGAGGGGCACGGAGGATCTGAAGCAGGCTCTGTGATGCCAGCACAGAGCCTGAAGTGGGGCTCAAACTCACAAACCGTGAAATCATGACCTGAGCCAAAGTCAGACACTTACCAACTGAGCCATCCAGGTGACCCAAACATCTGACTCTTGATTTCAATTCAGCTCATGATCCCAAGGTCGTGGATGGAGCCCTGAGTAGGGCTCTGAGCTGAGCATGGAGCCTGCTTAAGATTCTTTTTCCCTCTATCCCTCACTCTCTCTCTCTCTCCCCCACTCACATGCTCGCTCTAATAAATAGCTGATTTTATTCCGAACCAAAATTCCACAACCCATCTGATTTTTAATCTCTCAGTTTATTTACTTTTTTAATGTTTTTATTTATTTTTAAGAGAGAGACCGCAAGTGGGATAAGGGCAGAGAGAGAGAGAGACAGAATCTGAAGCAGGCTCCCGGCTCTGAGCTGTCAGCACAGAACCCGACATGGGGCTTGAACTCACCAGCTGTGAGATCCTGACCTGAGCTGAAGTCGGACGCTTAACTGACTGAGCCCCCCAGCCGCCCCTAATCTCTCAGTTAAGAACAGACTCCGTTCCCTGCTGTCATCATCGTCACAAAAAGGAGTGTCTCTGCCTGCTTCTCTCTTCCCTGACACTTGTAAAATGCTGCACATTCTGGATCCGTCTGACACCTTCCTGATGCTCTAGTTCACTTATTCCTCTCTGCCCCGTGACTCCTGAAAACGGAACACTTCACCAGTGACGTGGTGTGCCTCCCCTGGCACTGGCCTGCAAGCTGTTAGCAGTGCCAACATCAGATGGCGTGGTGGGCACCGTCTGGTCCTGTGGTTACGAAGGTTTAATTCTCCCTTTGCAATTGGAAAGTGTTCTATGTTTTCACTGTTATTACCACAAAAGGCTCAAAACAAACCACCATCTCTCTTGAATTTAACAGTGCCTATGATTTTAAGCAAACCAAATGATCTAATCACTAGATATACAATCCACTAGGTGAATACCAAAGTTTAAAGGGCAATGGGGGGGGATTATCAGAATCCTCTATCTTTCCATTATTAACTGTTTCTATTCAGTGTAGATTTTTTTTTTAATTTTTTTTTTTTAATGTTTTATTTATTTCTAGGAGAGAGAGAGACAGCATGAGCAGGGGAGGGTCAGAGAGAGAGGGAGTCACAGATTGAAACAGGCTCCAGGCTCTGAGCCGGCAGTCAGCACAGAGCCCCACGCGGGGCTCGAACCCACGAACCGCGAGATCATGACCTAAGCGAAAGTCGGACACTTAACCGACTAAGCCACCCAGGCGCCCCTCAGTGTAGATTTTTAAGTGGAGACACAGATGAAAGCGTAGCTCCATCTTTCAGCTGTAAGTGACATTTCTTCTGCCAAACACCCTTAAAGATTTGGTTAGGCCAACCCAGTGCTTAGTAATTAATTAAATCTAAGAGAAGTGAAAAACAAACTACTAACTCTACATAGCAATCTCAAAAGATACTAGAAAGTGAGCAGAAATGATTTCACAGGCTACTTTTTATTCTGACCTATCACTTACAATCTTTCCAAAATCTCAGGAGATCTCCTAGTAGCTGAAATTACTGTATTGGGGAAATAAAAACCTGATAAGCATAAATTAAACAGACCAAAGCAGATACTAAAGAGAATATCTAAGAGTCTAGACTTCATAAAAAACAAAATTCCTTACTTATCAGCACCTCACTCTTTACTTTTCACATGAGTAAAGTAAGGGTACAGAAAAATCAATAAGTGTGCGATGAATAAATTTCATTTACCTTCTTATTTATTTTCGTAAAGGATCTCTTTTCTCAATCGTATTTTATATACACCAGTTTTTAACCTGTAGTTTATAAATATGCACTGACTGGACAGAAAAAGTGACCCTAAAGTTACACAGGGCAGGAAGAAACAAATCAGCTACGATTTTTAAAACTCGGCTGAAAGTAATCCACAAAACTGACAGTATTTACACTGGTAATTAAGGAATTAGCCCAGCTTTTAATCTATATATATCTAGTATATTTTGACTTCTGCTCTTGTATTTTGTTATCTTTCATTTCCTAAAACTGTCCACTAATTATGTCCACTTAGAGTCTAACTGAATTTATGTTATTAAGTATGAGACCGCTCCTTAGAGCCACAGCCATTTTACAAAAGGGACCACGAGGCCCTCAAGAATAATGCATAACACAGAGTCAGCACTGGAATATAAGATCTTATTTCTAGACCTTATATGCAAAGCAAAAGCTCCATGAAACTCAGAAAGATTTAAAAAATTAACAAATTTTTAAAAATTAAAAGGAAAAACAAGACTTGTTTTGCTAATCTTCCTTTCATGTGGGATGAACGCTTGTTTTAAAAAACAAAATTCTGTTTCTTTAAAAATACTGGTATAAAGGGGCGCCTGGGTGGCTCAGTTGGTCAAGCGTCTGACTTTGGCTCAGGTCACCATCTTGCAGTCGTGGGTTGGAGCCCTACATCGGGCTCTGTGCTGACAGCTCAGAGCCTCGAGCCTGCTTCAGATTCTGCGTGTCCCTCTCTCTCTGCCCCTCCTCTGCTCATGCTTTGTCTCTCTCTCAAAAATAAACACTAAAAAAAAAATATTGGCATAAAAATTTAAATCTGGTCATGATGAATTTGAAAAAGATAAAAACCCTGATCAATAGAACTGATGAAACAAATTAAAATTTTCAGACAATGTTGCTTTACTTGTGGGTATCCTAATCCTAAAAAACTTTTACAATGCGGACGTGTGCAAATGTAAGCAGTTCAATATAACTATCTATTGAATAGGCAGTAAAAGAAAAAGAACTCCAACTTAAAAAAAATATTTATTCTGTAAAATTTCAAACATAAAATGAAAGAGAACAAAAATGAACGAACCCCTAAATCTCTAAGGCAAGCTTCAACGGCTCTGAGGTCTGGGTGATTCTGTTTCATGTGAGTCCGTACTTCCCTTTCCCCATAATGCATTATTTTAAAGCAAATTCCATAAATTCAAATGTTTTATCAGTAAATATTTCAAAAGATCTCTAAGGCAGGTTTTCTTAACTTTTTTCATTATTGCTTCTCCTTCAAAGAACCTCTTAATACAGTTTTCCCCGCCCATACAATTTTCACCCCACAGATACACTATATGTTTCTGTACTTTATTTATATCTGTGCTCTACACATAAAAAGAGCAATATTTTTGCCCCATTAGGACAAAATTCGCCCCATTTTGGGGACAGAGCTTTCACTGGGTGACACACTGCAGTGTAAGGCCCCACAGAACAATAGGCAAACCAGTACACCATTCTTAGTCCTAAGTAACATTTTAGATCAAATATCCAGCAGACAAGTATGGTCATGATGTCCTATGTGCTGCTCAATCTCAAGGACGTCACCGGTGCCCAGCACGCACACGACGTGGACGAAGCCAAGTGCCCCCAGCGCACACATGCTGGCACACTCAGAACCAGTGTGAGGCCCTCACTAACGCACAGATTACAGATCCCCGCAGGGCCTCGCCTCCAAGTGCTGCTTCCAAACCACCTACAACCACCTACAACCAGCAGGAATGCCACCTACAAGTGCAGACCCCAGGGCTCAGCCCAGGAATACATTGTAACCAAATTCCCGGCCATCTCAGACACACTGAAGTCTGAAACCTGTGTCCCTGCTGGAAACAGAGGGTCCTGCTTTTCTTCATTCCAATTTCCCTTGAGTCAGGGGAAGCACAATGACCCTGAACTCCTGATCTCTCTCTGCCCAGGGCCTCTCCCTGTACAAGTCTGATGAAAAGGCAGAAGAGCAGGCTAAAATCAAATTATCTTAATCCTAAGGAGGACTCTGCAAAGCCACGCGGGCCGTCTCACCTTGGCTTGTGTGAGGGCCGCCTTCTTCACCTGGAGCTGAGACTGCAGAAGCTTGAAGTTTTTGGACCAGCCTTCTGTTTTTGAATCACTGGTCTCTACTCCCAGGTCATCGTACAGGGACATCTTTTCAGTTTAATGCTGAAAGGCAAGGGGTATGGGGTTTAACAAATGCAAAATACAGTAAAGATCTCACATCTTTTCATCTTAAAATAACTCAGTACCACAGAATTTTAGAAGTAAAAGGTATGCGAAGACATGGTCTAGTCCAGGAACCCTGAGCAACAGAAGCCGAGATGCCGATACCGCTGATCGGTGTCCTGATACGCAAAGTGATACCCACATAGTATTTCGCAAATAAACTTGTAATTTTCCTGTAACATCATGTAGTCAAGTAATTCTTGAGTGAAATCATTCTGTTCTATGGCATTTAATGATTATTATTAGTAATTACATATTGTCAATTATATCTGTCCAATTTTTAAAAACTCTTGGTCTTAACAGCAAAAAGTAAAAATTTTACAACAGCACGGGACCAGGTTGATTTAGCACTGTTAACTACCTTTTATAGAAAAGAAATCAAAACATATGCCTAGAAATAAGGGGAAAAAAAAGAACATAAATGATCTCACAGATGCTGTATTTTATGACTCAACGTTGAAAGGAGGGGAGTTAGATCATACCATTCTACCAAGTTGAAATTTGTAATCTCTAATAACATGATGGCAAAGAGATAATCAATAACCCACACATAAATGATCAATACCTAATATCCTTGCAGCACGGAGGAATACAAGGTAACAAAAACAAGCAACATTTCTCACTTAAGGCTTATCAAGCCAGGGTGGTATTAAATGCAGTATCTGCTGTTGAAGCCTCGCCTGGTACAGACCTGGGACTTTGGGAGGTAAATGTGTCCAAGGTCAAAGTGGGAAGACCCATTCCAAACCTAGTCATATGAGCATGACAGCTCTTGCCACTAAATCCCTATGGCCACCTTTAAATTTAAATATAACCTCAACATTCTGGGTGAAACCACAACACAGTCCACTTCTCAAAATAAGAAATCAATCTTTTTCTCACAAAGGGAAAGGGAAAAAAAACTGACTGAAATCCCAAAATTGTAAATAAACAGCACAGATATCTTCTGACTTATGGGCACATTCCAAAATCTGTCAGTTCCCAGGTCCAGACAGCATTTTGCCATAGAAACCGTGTTAAACAAATCCTGTTTCACCTGTGAGTGTCTCTCAGGAAGAGAAGGTAACATAGACAAGAAGGAAAATATTTAATCTCCCCCACCCCCCCCACCCCCCCGCCCCTGGCTATGTCTGACTCAGGGCAAAAGTCTCCGTCCGGTCTATGCTTACTTCTCCCTTCTAAGAGCCTGCGATGGCCAGAGGCTGGCTGACCTGGGTTCCACTCCGCACGGGGCCTGGCGCCGGGCAGAGCAGCCCTGGGCCCGCAAGTCTGTGCCCACTCAACTGTGGCTGCTTCTCAGCTTCTTCCAGTCCCTAACATCCGAGCCCACAGAGTCCCTGAAAGCCCTCGGGTTTGATTTCTAAATGAAAGGCCCCCCAACTGGTACAGAAGCAGGGAGAATAAAAGCAGAGCCCAGGGTACCGCGGCGACTGCTCTGACGAATCACCTGAAACTGGAGGAATGCACGATCTCCCCGTAAGGCCTCTGTGACCACTCACCGGCCCGCCTGACGGCGCCAGCAAAGAATTTCCTAGACAGCGTGTCCAACAGGGAAGTGAATGCCCGCGGCCTGCAGTGCCCGACAAAGCGCACGCTTTACTCGGGAACTTGGCAACCCACCGTCACGCTGAGCTTGAGTCACTGAGGCGGAAAAGGGAAAGTAAGGACCCCCCCCCAGAGCGTCCACTTCAGAGTCTGCTTCAATCCACACTCTCAGAAGCGCCACGAAAACTCGAGGTCACCGCACCGCCCCCAGACTGAGATCGCGGGCGACCCGGGGCCGAACAGAAGTCATGCCAACTGCAGTTAGTCCTCCCCGTGCAAACCCCTCCCAGGACGTCTTTTCAGAGGCCCCTGGCCAAGGACGATGGCCCAGAAGCTCCAGGCACCCAGGAGCTTCAGAGGCTTTCAGGCACTTTCCTCACAGCCTCTGCAGTACTCCAAGCTAATCGTTCTGACCCAAACTTCCTTAAACTTCATATCGAATCTGAAACACTCGGAGCGACAGCAAAGAAAAGCAATGCTGAGTCAGCTTAATCCCGGGGTCCTCACACATCTCGAAACGACCATGCATCTCTCATGTGTTTGGGCTTCTTCGTTTAACCGGCCTCCAAACCCAAGCCTAGGTACACCCTGGGTTCATTTGTTTTCTCTTTCTTTATTCTTTTTTTTTTTTTTCCTAGGAGAGAGAGAGACAGCGTGAGCAGGGGAGGGTCAGAGAGAGAGGGAGTCACAGACTGAAATAGGCTCCAGGCTCTGAGCTGGCAGTCAGCACAGAGCCCAACGCGGGGCTCGAACCCACGAACCGCGAGATCATGACCTAAGCGAAAGTCGGACGCTTAACCGACTAAGCCACCCAGGTGCCCCTCTCTTTCTTTATTCTCATAAAGCAAGGGAAGACCAACACATTCCGAGAAACAAAAATAAACAACGAAGCTTTCTAGGAAATTGTCAACAAAGACAAACCAACAAAACTAGCTTGCAGCCCAAACTCTACTTCTCCCAGTAACTCCTCCTAAGAAACTTAAGAACCTCATCAAAAATAGTATTTACGAACTTATCTGTGCCAAGGGAGACAGGGTAACCACATGCCACTGAACTATGAAGGGAAAAGATTAGCTTTTCCGTGTTTGCATCTCCCATTTCTGGCACAGGGTAGGAACTTAACAAACGCTTGCTGAGGTATAATAACTAAGAAAGATCCGTGCTTAGCCACACGGATCACAGCAAAGCCGCACAAGGCCAACAGCAGGCAGTGAAAGGCGGGGAAAAGATTCTGGGGTCGGAGGCCGGTGGCAGCTGCAGACGCGTGTGCACTTACTGACACGGCGCCGTGCGCCCCAAGCTCTGTGTTACGTACACTTACCACCATTAAAACCAAACCAAACAAAAGCCTGGGTGACAGGCCGACAAAGCAGCCCTGGGGAGGTGTGTGTGTGTGTGTGCGCGCGCACGCGCACGTGTCAGGCTGCCATCTAATTAACACTAGGACATCTCCCTACTGAGGAGTAAACTTTAATAGAAATGGTTCCCCAAAGTTGGGGGTTAAAAAACAGTCAAATAGCAGGGAGGACCTCTCTCCAGCAGAGCGCCTCCACCAAGAATCCAGCATTTAACACATTTCACGGCTGAATGAGAGGCCCCAAGGGACGCTGCTTCCTCTCTTCCACCACGTCCAAAGTGAAGGCGGCCCAGGGGCCATTCCGTGTGATCTGCCTGCTCTGCAAGCTTCGGAAACCACCTGTATGTGTCCTCAAAGCCTTTGTAAACACACCTGAAATACTAGAAACTGACGTCACCTCGGCAGCGCCTGCCCGTCTTCCGTAAGGCAGAGCACACAGGTCACACCGGAAGGGCTCCTCCGCTTTCCTCACGTGGACCGCACTTCAGGTTCACAGACCCGGACCAGCCGCAGCAACGACACGCCCATCATGCATCCACACACGGACAGCCCGCTTGTCACTACTGTGACGCTACCAGCACCAGCGACCGTACCGCGTGGAACAAGAGTCAGAATCCGGACAAGGAACCACATGCAACCCCGAAGGGTCCATCCCATCCAAGCCATGTCCCGAGCCCAGGGGCGGGGAGGACCTGCACCCTGTTCCCCCCTTACCACCCTCCTTTCATGTGTGATTTCCATAAGTTCACTGCACCTATTCCTGAGAAGGTGTGAGCCGTGTGAGCGCTGCCCCCCGTGCTGGCCGTGTGGGCACTACCGCTACAGTGAACCAGCGCCGATTCCTCGTCCTCCCCTGCCGTCGCTGCAAAGGTCCTGGGCAGTGAGCACATCCGCCAGGACATGAACGTGACACTGCAGAGACGCCCTGTGAAGGACGGCGCGACCCCGCATGAAGCCCCCGCCACGCGGTAAAGCCAGTGGGGTCTGTCTAACGTTTGGCTGCGCTGTGAGCCAGGGTCCAGCACAAACACACACGTCACTTCCGGAACGTGTCTGAAGTACCTGCTGTTTCTTTCTTAGGGAACACCACTCTGCTCAACACGCCTTTCGCACACGCGCCACTCTTTTTCCCTGAGAAGAAACGGTAAACACGGTTCTGCCCGAAGAAGGCCGACTGTTTAAAATCCCACCCAAGCTGGCGGAGTACATCTTAAAAGTACAACTGGTATAGGAAGAACATGCGAGGAGGCTTCTGGAAGCAGCCCGGCTCACCTCTCTCTCAAGTGCATCTCCGAAGCCCCCAGTGACCACCACCCCCACCCGAGGCAACGCGAACACTGCTGCCTCCGGGCTGCCCCCGCCGCCGCTATAAGCCCCTAAACGGGTCAGGTCTGTTTTCATCTCCGACTCCGGGTCTCTAGCTCGGCAGCACGCGGTGAACACTGTAAGCACGTCATAAATTCCCTCTACGCGCAGGAAGTGAGCGGATGGGAAATCGCATTATGAAACAGCAAGGGCTGCAGGCCCGCCTCGCAGCCCGTCTTAGGGAAAGCGGTCTCTGATCCAAGCGCGGTCAACTTTAAATCGTCTGCCATCGGAGTGGGAGAAAAAGTACCACCACCACACAGCTAACCGTCAGTCAAGGTCTGAGTTCTGAGCTCCTGAACAGACTCTACTTCATCACTAAACAGATACTCAAGTATCACACAGCAAAGCCCACGCCTAAACAACAGGGAGGTATAGACAGAAAGGAGAGAGAAGAGAACATAGGAGGGGCAGGGCACGCTGCCGTCCCCCCAAAACACAGGAAATAAGTAATAAAAGGCATCTGCCTCGTATAAAATTAACAGTGACTTTTTCAAGAACGAAAACGCCTTCTTCAGCCGCCCTGGTCACATCCAGCCCTAGGAGGGGGTGGGCGGCACGGAGGCCCGCGGGCGTCACCTAATACAACCTCCCTCACTGATCACCATTACAAAACACTCGCGGGTGACGAGCCCGCGGATCACCTGCTCCCTGAGGGTACTTTTAACCAAACCAGCTAGAAAGAGACCCGCTTCATACAGCTGCCCTTGGGAACACAGCAACGATTCGCCCCAAACGCTTGCTTCCCCACGACGTTGCCCTTCGTGGTCACAGAACTCCAGTCAGAAGAGCTTCTCGCTGCCAACACCCCTGCTGCACCCCGTTATGTTCTGCCTGCTCACAAGCCACCGCTCTCATTTCCTAATAAAAGTCTAAAACACGCCCTCCGCCTGAGCTACTAACTCACTAGCCCCTGTTCCCGCCTGATCCCCATTACAGTCAAAACCGCTGTGGTCTTTATGACCCAGAAAGGTGGAAACGGAGTTGCACCCTAAAAACTCCACCTGTTGCCGGGAGACACAGTGCTCCTCTGAGTACACGCACAATTCCGCCCTGATCCAGAACACCCTATTTTCCATCCATATGCTTGGCTCTGCCAAGCGCCTTCAACGTCCCTTCTTCACGGACTTGTCACAGAACGTTCTGGATCTCGCCTGACAGCCCGCTCCTCCAAAGTCTCCCTTACCTGCAGGTTCCGGCAGGCACTGCGGTGCTTCACCTGCGCGGCCGTGCACACCTACTTCCTCTGCGGGGAGCCCTCCGTCCGTCTCGCACCTCTAACAAAACACCTCCGGGGCTCCGTCGTAAGCCTCGCCCCCCTCTCGTCCCCACTCCGGTCCCCTGGATCAAGCCGGGCTTGGGTTCTGATGCTCGTTCCCCTAGAGACCAAACTCCGCGAGAGGAGAGGCCGAGTCGCATTTACCTTGCACCTGCTGTTCAGGACACACGGTCTGGGCACGGGGAAAAAGGCTCACAGATCACGCCCGGTGACCGCACATCCGAGCTAAGCCCCGCTCGTAAAGCACAAGGACCGAGGGGACGCCGGAGTCGCGTCGTGCGGCAGCCGGCTCTGGAAGCCTCGGCCTCCGGGAGGCGCCGCACCCGGAGCTCCCCGGGATCCCTCCTGTCCGCTGCCCGAGGCCCCGGGGCGGCGCAAGTGTGCAGGGCCGCCGGTGACACAAGCCTGGCTCCCGGGGTCCAGGGGCCGAGCAACTTTTTCAAAACACGGGAAACCCCCCACAACGTCCGCGGGTCCCAGGGGCCGAAGGGCACGCACGGGAAAGGGGAGGCCGGGAAGCCAGTAGAGCTCGAGGGCCCGGTGCCCCGCGGCAAGGAAAGGAGAGCGGCGGCGGGCGCGCGGGCCTGGACGCGGGCCGCCCGGAGGGCCGCTCCGGGACTCCTCGCCCCCTCGCGGCGCGGCCTAAAGCCGCGGCCTCGCGTGCAGCGCCGCCCGGGGAGGCGCTCCGGGCCCGGCTCCCCGCCAGGCCGCGCGCCCCGACGCCGCCTGCGGCGCCACTTACCCGGCCTGCCCGGCCGACTCTCCCCATGGGCCGCGGCGGCGCACCGGGGCCGAGGCGCCGCGGAGAGGGCGGGCAGGGCGCTCTCGGCGTCAGCCCGCGACGGCCGGACCCGAACCGGCGCCAACCCCTACGCCGAGTCCGCAGGGCGCGCGGCGGCGCGGGGTCAAGGAGCGCGTGCGGCCGGGAGAGGGGCGCGCCTGCGCCTGCGCCCTGGGCCGCCTCGCCGCGGCGCCCCCTTCCGGCCGGAGGACCGCACTGCACCTCCCCTCCGCCGGCGTCCTTTCTCCAGCGCCGGGAGGAGTCGCAGGAGCCCGAGTTGGAGACATTTCAGACTCTTGGGAGAGCCCAGCAGTGCCCCCTGATGGTGAGGAGCGGAAATGGCCCAAGGTTCCAACGATCTTCCGTCCTTGGGAGTCAACTGCGTTTTAATAGGACACAGGCGCAGAATTCCTCCAAGCCCTTCGTGCTCATTCAGTCAAAACCATCCATGTTCAAGCACAAAGCTGAAACTAAAGCGCCACAGGCGAGGCGAATGGGAAGGCTGTTGGAGAACGAGTGCGTTGGGTCAAGTGTCCGACTACGGAGACAGTAAGTAAGGAGTTTGGGGTTACCCAAGAGAATGTAAATGCTGTAAAGCTTCACAATTTAAAAAGGAGATGGCAAAAGGTTGGAGGAAAGGGAAATTGGGATTTTGTGTAAAAATGATTTTCGCCTCCATAATGATGGGTAAAAATATTTCGAGCTGATAAATAATAGAGATTGAAAATATGCACCTTCGTACAAAGGAACATACTAACCAAAAAATATAATCAACTAAAATCTGGCGATTAGGAAAAGGGAGAAAAGAAAGAAATATAGTAGGGAGTCAACAAACAATCTAAAGAGACGGATGATTAAAGACATCAAGTGACATAATTATAATCACGGTAACAAACATGCAAACCTTTCAAATGGTCAAAACATAATGCACACATCTACAAACAAAACCACAGAATGAATTGACTGGAAAAGTTTCAAAACAGAAAGTATGACAAAATAATATGCCATAACTAAGACCGAACATCTTATGTGAATAAATGTTAAATGTACTCGACATGCTTATCTAAAAAACACAACTTCAGATTCGAGCACTAACCATAACACAACTCTATGTTACATATAAGAAAATGCATAAAACAGTCATTCTGAAAGTCTGAAAACACAAGAATGGAAAGGATATACCAGGAGTATCAGGGATCACAAATTTATTGATTTCAAGGCAAAAATCATTAAATGAGATTACGAAGAGCATTCTAAAATCGTAAGAGTTACAAGTCACAATGGAGAAAAAATAGGAGTATGTACCTGGATAACATAATCTCTTTATGAATAGCAAACACCGTAGGAGTTTATATATAAACTCCAGACAAAGGGCACAAGCGGTAAGAGAGGACAGAGAAGTTCTAAAAATATAATTGATATGGTAGATCTAACATATCAAACTCTGTGTCCTGAAACAGATGACATCTTTTCAAGTGTCCTTAGAATACCCACAATTGGCCATGTTTCAGGCCACAGACAAAAATCTTAAAACATCCCAATAAGTAGAACCACCTAGATGATATCATACGAGCACAATACAATAAAACTAGAAATTAATGACAAAACAGAAAATAAAACATTCTTACCCCTTGAAAAATTTTAAATGCTTAGATAACATTTGGCTCAAAAAGGAAAACAAAAACCAAATAGAAAATGCCCGAAAGAATATGACAGTGAAAATGACATATCAGAACCCATGGGATTTAGCTAAATATTACTTGGAGGAAAACTCATGACTTCATTTAATTGATCACATTAATTAAAGAGTTAGGATAAGCTAAATGAATTAAGCACCCATGAAAGAAGTTAGAAATAGAACAGAATATACCTTTGAGAAGAGAAGGATGTAATGAATAAAGAGAAAAGCCTACAATCACAGTGTATAAAACAGAAAAATATAGAATTAAAAAATAAATCCAGGAGCTGATTGTGTGAAAGTAAATAAGCCATTAGCTAAATAAGAAACAAAAAGAGAAAGTACAAATATACAAAATATGGAATGAAAGCAATTAGCTCCAGACACAGGAGAGTAAAGTTATGTTAAAAGAAGACTTTGTTTCGTTTTATCAAGTAAGTCAGAAAATCTGGATCAAGGAGTTAATTTGTAGGGCAATATAGTTTATTAAAATGGGCTTTAGAAAAGTTATAAAGTTTAAATAGACCAACTACCACAAGAGAAATAGGGAAGAAGAGAAAAGACCTACTGCCCAAATTGGCAGCAAACCCACAGGGGAAATTTACCAGACTCTTAGGGCCAGTGGATCCCCATGTGCTGTTCCAGGACATAGAAGATAAAGAAAGACTTCAAATTTTTTGTATGAGGGGTGCTTGAGTGTCTCAGTCAGTTAAGCACCCAATTTTGGTTCAGGTCACAATCTTGCAGTTCATGAGTTCGAGCCCCGCGTCGGGGTCTGTGCTGACAGCTCAGAGCCTGGAGCCTGCTTCTGATTCTGTGTTCTCCCCTACTCATGCTCTGTCTCTCTCTGTCTCTGTCTCTCTCTGTCTCTGTCTCTCTGTCTCTCTCTCTCCTTTAAAAATAAGTAAACATTAATTTTTTTAAAAATTTTCCAAATTTCTTATGTGAGTCAGCACAGTAGTGTATACCTAACAAATATATGTCAAAGAAAGCTATAGGCCATTCTCACTTACGACTGTTAAAGTAAAAGTCCTAAATAAAATATAGTATGGCATTAGGACAGAAATCCCCAGTCCTAGGGCGAGGCGCTTTCCAGAGCTGTGGGATCAGCCCTTGGTGAGAAGCAGAACATTCTGGCAGTAAGATAAACCTGCTCAGGGTTGGAGTGCTCCCTGAATTAGAGTCCAAGCTTTGAAGGGTTTGCTTCCAGGGTTGGCTTGGAGCCCTAGGTCTGTGGGGGTCAGCTCCATTTCACAGGTGAGGATTCCCAAAGCTAGGGACTCATTCCTACTCCAGATTGCTGGTTCAAATGGAATCAGGCTTAGATTCTAGGTCATACATAGACCTGATTGCCGGGTTCACACACAGCTGTGGAATCCGAAGGCTTCTTAAAGGGCCCTGTTGCTTCTAGGAGCCTGTGGTCAACCGGGTGGTATTTCAGATTAACTAAAGGAAAGGGGGCAGGAAAAAAGGACTAGACATAGTGAAGAATTTGCTAAAGGTAAGGAACATAACTAGGAAGAGATGGTCAGGGCATGAATCACGGATGTGTACAACTCTAGGGAACACGCCCTTCACACGGGCAGGAGGGTGTGCCGTCATTGGGAAGTGGCGAGACTGAATTCCCAGTGGAAGGAACTTTGTTTCAGACACGCAGGCAATGGCTCAACCCAGCAGGAGACTACGATCTCATTGGAGAGAGACAAGGTAGACCTGGGGCTGTCTCCCCACCCAGTCTATGGCAGGAAGTGAGTAGACCAGGTTGTGGGAGACGGCACTCATCTCTGAGGCTCACAGCCTTGGTGAACAGATGACATAGATGTGAACAAATGTATTGATCTGGGGCCTGGGTGGATTTTGAGAAGAAAACCCAAGCGGGGCCCATGTCTATGCACCTATTTGTTCCACCCACCAGCCAGCCAGCCATTCTCTCTGCATTTCTTTCCTTTTTCCTATTTTCTTGTCTGCCAGTCTGTTATTTATCTGAGTGCAACTTCAGGACCATGCAGGGACTGGCTGAATAAGTAAGCATTGCCTCATGTGTTCGTCTTTTGACATGTCAGAAGAGGCAAGAGCCTTATAAGACCACTTATAAGGGGTCCCTTTTAAGACCACTAATCCCATTCGTGGGGGCCCCAGCTTTCAAGACCTAATCACATCCCAAAGGCCCCATCTCCTAATACCATCACTGGGGATTAGGATTCAACATATGGCTTTGGGGAGGACACAAACCTGCAGTCTACAGCAGCTGGTATCTTGCAGACTATGTTAGAAGGAGCAAGCCCTGTAGAAATCATTTGATATCATTGAAATCACTCTGAGTGCTCAAAGTGAAAACCGAGCCAGGCCATGAGCAGAGAATGGGAGTGACCCGTAGCTCAGGGCCTGGAAATAAGAAAGCAAATCTTCCCATTCTGCCTCCTACAAAACTGGCACCAAGCAAGGATCCACATAACCCAAGAGAGGTCCCAAGAGAGGTAGATTTCTACAAGGAAACAGATTGTTCTCTTGGCTGCTACGGTTAGCTGAGTCTTTCAATTTTGGGGCAAGTACGAAATACACACATGATCCAGAATCTTCCTTGTCTACACAAGGCTTACAATTTACTTATACAACTGGCATTCTGTTTAAATTACTTCACCTTAATCCTGGTGACATGGTGGAGAATTACATTCATCAGATACTCCCCATAAAGATTGTTTGAGAAAAAAGCAATGAGCGTGTCTTAGTCAGCTCAGGCTGCTGTCACAAAATATCACAGATGTCGTGGCTTAAACAACAGACATTGGTAATAATTTTGGAGGCTGGAAGTCTAAAATCAAAATGCTGTCAGATTTGGTTCTTGGGGAGAAGGCCCACTTCCTGGCTTGTAGGTGGCCGACATCTTGCTGTATGATGGAGAGAGAGTGTTTTGGTTTCTTTCTCTTCATATAAGAAGAATAATTCCTAAGGCCAAAGCTAGAGGCATCACAATTCTGTACTTCAAGCTGCATTACAAAGCTGTAATCATCAAGACAGTATGGTCCTGGAACAAAAACAGACACATAGTTCAATGGAACAGAATAGAGAGCCCAGAAGTGGATGCACAAATGTATGGTCAACTAATCTTTGACAACGCAGGAAAGAATATCCAATAGGAAAAAAGTCCCTTCAGCAAATGGTATTGGGAAAATTGGACAGCAACATGCAGAAAAATGAAACTGGACCACTTTCTTACACCGTAATGAA